TGGTTAAAATTGAGGTACTTTGGGATTTATTTAAATTATTCTTCTGAGCAAAAAAGAAATTTGCAGAAGAAAAGTGCTATATGAGAACAACGGGCGGTGGTCCCCCTATGGATGTGAAATGGACAGAAACCGAAAACAGCATAAAAGAAATTTTAGGCAGTAGGATGGAAAGTTTTCCATCAGAATTTGATTATGATTGTAGCAGTAAGTAGTAATTATTCATAAAAAAATCAGTACCAATGCCTATGTCTTAATTTATAGCTATATTTATAGACGATGCAACCCAGAATAACACAGGGAATGAACCAGCTACGTATTTTAATGGTAATAATGTATTTTGATTATCTAGTACTGTTATACCATTTACATTTATGTGTTACTTACTTTTAGGTGATGATTCACAAATTTCAATGAGTCTTGAAAATCCTATAATAACTGTAGTGGATCACGGTGATTATAAAAGTGTAGGTATTATAATTATTGTGTTATCTAAATAGTATGTTTCATTTTTAGACTATGTAATAGACACTTCTGGAGCTGAAAATGGAAATATGTCTCATTCTCGTTCATCTGGAGTCGAGTCTAAAATAGATGAATCTGAATGTGGTAAAGACTTCCTCACAAAGTAATTAAAAAAGTTCATGTTTTATAAAATTAAATTGTAGGTGTGGCTGAGCAAAACTGGGGAAAATACACACCCACAATGTTGCGATCGAAGGCACACCTAATTTTAGAGGTATTTTTGAGTTATAGTTTTTAATATTTCTTTAAAAATATTTTTCTTCACAGATACTTCAAAACATAAAGGTACTGAAGATATCACTAAAAAAATTAGTCAATGGACAGATGCAAAATGTGCCATTGAAAGTTCTAAAGACAAGCAAAATGAAGCAGAACATGCATTAAAGTTAGAACAAATGCAAGAAAAACACAATTTCGAAATCGCTTTATTAAAGGAAGAGTCCAGGAAAAAAATGGAAATGTTAGAAGCTGAACATAAAATTCACTTGGAAATTTCACTCTTACAAAAAGCAAAACTGCAAAATAATTAATTATATTTGAATGTTTCATTTGTTAGTTTTCTAAATAAATTATTATCGTGTAAGAAGTATTTTCTTTAGCAAATTTGAATAAAGTTGAAGTTTGTATTTAAATGTTGTTATTTTCATGTAAATAATACAGTTCAAAGAATTAAAACATGTATATATTTATTTTATTACATTACAACTACAATACATTAATAGTGTTTTTTACTTTAAATAGAACATAACATCTTCATCTATTGCCTCAATTCATTAAAATAATTAATAAATTGATGCCTAATCAAGTTATTTACATTAACTGCCCCAATTTCTATAATATTTTCATTTGGAACATTGTCTGCAATATCAATTGCAACTTGTTCTTCTTCATTAGGTGGAGGCATTGGATCCTTAAATAAAAGTGTAATATTATGCAAAACTGCTGTAGCAACTACAACTGCTTCCACTTTCGTTGGCTTCAGACGTATTCCAAACGCTAATATAGGAAATCTTCGCTTCCATACCCCAAAACACCTTTCAGTAGGGATCTAATTTGTGCCTCATTGTACAAATTTTCTGCAGGCAACTGAGGATTTAGAAGAGGCGTTAAAAGATATGGTCGTACAGCATATCCACTGTCTCCCACTAACACATATCCATTGAATCTATTAGTTTCAAAATCTGCCCTCACATTTGAATTATTAAAAATGGTAGAATCATGTGCAGACCCTGGCCATCTGCACACTATGTTGATTATTTTTCCATTAGCATCACAAATTACTTGGACATTATAAGAAAAAAAGTTGTTCCGGTTTCTAAAATTTTCTGGTTCTTGGCCTCCGGGTGATGAAATTTTCACATGCGTATAGTCTAATGCACCGATACACTTTGGAAAACGACTTGTTATAAAATTTTTGGCTCGCTATTTGCATGTCTTCTTCAGTTTGTGGCATTTTAATGAAAGTTGTATTCAGTCTTGCAATTGCACGGCACACTTTGTCTACAATTCTACTCGCTGTTGACTTGTCTACTCCTATAAAATCAGCATTAACTTGTAAAAATGCTCCTGCAGCAAGAATACGTAATGTTAGAAGAACCATTTCTTCTGCACTTACTGCATGATTTCTGAAATATAGATTTATATTTCATTAGATACTTACTAGCAAAGCAATTGTAATTATAATTATATATTACCTGTCTGTATGTGATGAAATTTGATTTTCAATATTTTCTATAATAAATCGAACTGCATTCTTTGATAGTCGAAATCTCTTTATAAATTCGTTCTCATTCCATATCTCAAAATGATTTTGTCTATTTCTATAAGTTTTTGGTGCCCTTGGATGTGCAATTATATTAACGAGTTGAAGAAAATCTTCTTCATCACTTAATATTTCGAGTAATTCTTCCATTTTTTTTTTGTTGAGTTTTTACGAAAAAATACAAGTTTATTCAATTTGTTTCTGTTAGTTGAACACCAACTAACTTAACACCTAACCTACAAAACGATAAAAATAACGAATTTGATTTAAACCAATGCTGAGCCTAGGGCAAACGGAAGCTCTGTTTAACATGGAGTTGAGCTTTGCTTAAATAGAAAGCTTTGTATGTACAACTGGAAATGACAGTTCATCACAAGCTCAACGGTGAGCCCTCATTTGAGCTCTATTGTACAACCGGCCCTTAAACATATAAAAAGTTTCGATACACATATCTAAATTTCTTTTGTTTTCGTGATACAGTGTTAAAGAAATGTTGATATGAAATATAGATTTTTTTTACTTGCGATCAAGTGGACTGACAATTTGTACATAATATCCTCTACAGGTTGCCAACCAGTGGTAAAGTTAGAGGGTTAAATAAGTACAGTTTTATATGTTTTGAGATCCTCTATCATGTAGTGCAATGCATTGTACTTTTTTCAATGTCACCCTGTATAGAGGGTGTTCCAAACCTCTGGAAAAGTAGAATTCTGATATTACTATTTAAAATATCAAAAACACTTTTCAACATCATATGTTATTAAATTATTTCTCTATATATTTCAAAATAATTTCAAATATTGAAGTGTTTTTCGATGCCTAAATAGTTCTACAGGGTGATTCATTAACAATGGGAAAATCGAAAGCTGAAGATACTACACGTAAAATGGTGACCACTGGCGCAAACATGCCTTATCCGAAAGTTGATAGTTTCGGAAATAGAGGGTGTTGAAAGTTCAAATTTTAAATCGTTTTTTTGCAATTATTCTGAAAAGATGTAGGTTAGGAACTTGAAAATTTGTGAAACTATATTTTTTTAGGGGACGATTAAGATGCATATTTTAATTTCGGCATTACTCATAGAGGGTGCCACTTACGACCAATTTTACGGAAAATTTAGTTAATAATATTTTACCCTGTATGTCTAACATAAAATTTGATTCAAAACCTGAGAGAGCAATCATTTTTCTATTAATTATGTATTCTTGTTTCATTTCGGTATCTCGTTCCGTTTTCGAGAAAAACCGATTTAACGAACACTATGTTCTTATAATACGAGAAATTAAAAGCGAAACAAACCAAATGTTTCTTCGTGTTATTACAACAATTAACAATAAAACAAATAAAATACGTAATTATGATTTAATGTAATTATTCGGAGAATCCACCGTTGACACTGATACACTTTACACGTTTTTTGAAAGATCTTCGAGTTTGAAACAACATATTGGGATTGCGTCTGACTTCGTTGGCAGCGATTTGTATTCTTTGCCACAACTCTTCACACGAGCCAGTAGCAAAAATGCTTACATGACTAATCCAGCGATTTGGAAAAACTGCATCTAAATATGCACGCACTTTCCAAGAAAAATGCGGTGGAGCTCCGTCGTGCATGAACCAAATGTCTCTTCTTAAATAAAGTGGGACTTATTCAAGCCGTGGAAGCATTTTTGCTTGGCCACCCAGAAGTCTGGACTTTAATCGTCTTCATTTTTCTATTTATTCTCGAATGAAAGGTATAGTTTACAAAGAAGCTATTGGTTCGTGTGAAGAGTTGTGACAAAGAATATAAATCGCTGCCACCGAAGTCAGACGCAATCCCAATATGTTGTTTCAAACTTGAAGATCTCTCAGGAAACGTTGTGTAAAGTGTGTAAATGTTAACGGTGGATTCTTCGAACACTGACTTTAAATCATTATTACGAATTTCATTTCTTTTATTGTTAATTGTTGTAATAACAATAAGAAAAATTTGGTTTGTTTCGCTTTTAATTTCTCGTATTATCAAAACAGTGTTTGTTAAATCGATTTTTCTCGAAAACGGATTGAGATACCAAAATGAAACTAGAATACATAATTAATGGAAAATTAATTGCTCCTTCAGGTTTTGAATCAAATTTCATGTTAGACATACAGGGTAAAAAGTTAACTAAATTTTCAGTAAAATTGGTCATAAGTGTCGCCCTCTATGAGTAACGCTGATATTGCAACATGCATCTTATTCGCCGCTTAAAAAAATAGTTTCACAAATTTTCAAGATCCTAACCTAGATATTTTCAGAATAATAGCAAAAAAACTATTTAAAATTTGAACTTTCAACACCCTATATTTCCAAAACTATCAACTTTCGAATAAGGCATGTTTGCGCCAATGGTCACCATTTCACGTGTAGTATCTTCAGATTTCGATTTTCCCATTGTTAATGAATCACCCTGTATAAAAATTCTAGCTCTCCAGAGGTTTGGAACATTCTGTATCCACTTATATCTATAAATTTTTATTCTGTATAACTTCAGTTAATTTATTTAGACTTGTCACAACTTCACCTAATCGTAGGTCTATTACATTTTTTATTTCTTGTAAAATTGTAATAGTTTCTAAATATGTGTTTTCTGTTGAATTTCGTTTTCTTTTTGAATCGCGCTTTGTGTAATTATGCTCCTCGCAATTAATGTGACTAGTAGATGCAACTGACTTGAACGTTGGTGGGAGTGGAGGGACAATATCATCTGTCTACAAAAATATTTTACTATATTAATTTTTCTGATCATACAATTTTGTTATTTTCTTTACCAATAATTTTCTTCCTCTTCTGCTTCTACATCTGTGGTCTCCGCTGTCTAAAATTTAAACAAATTTAGTATACTAATTGAAGTTAAATCACTATACATATCACATATTATTGCCATATTTATTTAGAATGTGACATTCGTTTTTTGTAAAAAAAAAAAAACTATTAATTATGTTCTACATACTGAACTATATTGCTGGTTAAGGGCTGGTTCCATAATAAAAATAAAGTCGACATTAAGATTAAAGGATGTTTCAAGTTATTGTAACAATCTGTTTCCAAGGTATATAGCAACTTTAGTTTTTACAGGTCTGTTTAAAATCATTATGAAACTGGGCCTAAATGTACTTATTTAAGGTTCACCCTGTATACATAATACATTATATATTTTAAACACATACCTCAATTTGTGTCAAGACTAGCTGAGGAGTTGTAGTGTTTTTAACTGTAAAACCTACTTCAGGACAGCCAACACCTAACACCTTTATGGAAACTCGTACCTAATAATTGTAGGGCTCTTGTTTCAAATTGATTAAGTTGTCGTGTCTCCTAATCCTCCACCGGTAAGAGCTTGCTCTCTTTGTAATTTACTAGCTTTTTTTTTCAATAAGCATTTGAAATCTATCCTGTAATTAAAATAATATTGTATTTACATATTATGTATTTTCAATAACAATAATAAATTTAATAAAAGATATAGAATAAAGTATTAGTACACAAGCAATGTCTAAATACATAATCTTCTTGGCTTACTCGTATTACTTACTTCTTACTTACCTTTTTCCATTTATCTACAGATCTCTCTCCACAACCAAGTGCATTTAATCTTATCGTTAAATCATTCCACGTTTCTGTTTTCATCTCTGCCTTGAATACCTTTGAAATTCCCTGTTGCCATCGAAGGATACATTTCAAAATAATTAAACATAACTTCCCAGTGGACGTCTCTCAATTTGAATGCCATTATAATCATACAAAAATTTTCCGAGTCTTTTTAATTGTTATTTAACTTTTCTGTATGACTACTAGGTTACATCAAAAACCTTTTGAGTTTTGACCACATACTTCTATCCTATACTGATCATTACCTATAGTTTCAATGGATGACCTTGTTTCCAAAAAGTGGGGACGAGACGTACTCCGTGTGTTTTGCGCATGCTCCATAATTAGGCGCGGTTGCATTTAATTTTAAAAGACTGTCACGGCATGCTCTGTACTATAGCCGATTTGTATACATATGAGATATTAAATCTATTTTCATTGAGTTCACTTCAATTTCTAAATGTTTACTTTTCTACCATTTTCTTATATGAGTCCTCTATCGATAGGCTCCTTATCTAACACATTATTTTACTATTTATTTTTTACTATTTATTAATTTCAATAAATAACGTAAGTATCTGCATAACCTATTTAATATTTTGCAGGCTCAAATAAAATAAAANTCTCTCCACAACCAAGTGCATTTAATCTTATCGTTAAATCATTCCACGTTTCTGTTTTCATCTCTGCCTTGAATACCTTTGAAATTCCCTGTTGCCATCGAAGGATACATTTCAAAATAATTAAACATAACTTCCCAGTGGACGTCTCTCAATTTGAATGCCATTATAATCATACAAAAATTTTCCGAGTCTTTTTAATTGTTATTTAACTTTTCTGTATGACTACTAGGTTACATCAAAAACCCTTTTGAGTTTTGACATGCATTATGCATTACCATACCACATATCAACAAAGAATATAACAGAACAATGTTGAAGGGGTGGAAGTAAGAGTAATAACCTGATAATAGACAAAGATAAAATATAATTCGATAACATCTTTGTAATCGTACTATTCGAGTCGTATTGAAACGATAATTCGACTCGATATTTTGCTTCAGAATCATTAAGATTGGTCGATTCGAGTCGAATCGAGCAATAGAATCCCAGAATGTTTGATTGTGAATTGGTGCACGTTGCTATTTTGGCTAAGCGATTTATACGTTTGTTGCACAATATATTACAATCTGTGGATTGTGAATCGTGTATATGTTTTTGCGCAGTGGCGGCGCGTGAACATTGATTGAATGTGTTCTGTTTAGGGTTTGTTACATTTGTTGAATTGAATTTCTGAATATTAAGTGCCCGGAGTCTGTAAATGGCACCGCAGGCGAAAAATTTTATAATTTTCAAGGTCACGCGTTTTCCTGGCGCTTCTTAATTTCAAGGAACAATGTATTTATAAAAAAAATATAGATTTTCACAAGAATGATTTTTGAAATTGATACCTTTTTGAAATATCTATTTACGAATTACCTACTGATGGTATAAA